ATATTTTATTACAGGATCCAAGCAAAATTACATTTCACTAAAAAGATGTGAGATTGCGAAATGGTTGCAAGATTAGAACTCAAAGAATTTTAAGGGAAAGTTAGATTGTTTAGAAAATAAACTAAAATTGACTCTAAATCATAATGAATTATCGGCTGAATCTCAGACTAAAATAAAAAACTTTTTAACACAGTACACACAGAAATGGTCAGCATCATCAAGAAATTCAACAACATTTTACAATAAAAATTCGTTGTGGCTTTCTTCAGAAATACAATTTTCTAGTATTATCGATTTAAAGAAACCAGCATCAGCAGAGGAAGAAAATGATCGCGGAAGGCCACTAGTATCCTTCCTTAGTTCTAGCGAACGAACCAAAAGAAGGAAAACGGAACAACTTCGATTTGATTTTTCTGTTGAAGAACTCACTTATGCTGCACAAATGCAACTTCGGTCGGAAGGTAAATTAGATGCAGCAGATATTATGAAGCAAATAGTTTTTTCTACCCCAACTCGGGCATCAGTTTTTGTCGTCTTTGGTGCCTATTCAATTAATAAATGGAGCTCCTTCCTCAAAAAAAACTAAAGTCATTTGGTAAAATCCCAGACCTTCCTCTACCCAATTTTGTAGACCTATCCGCATACAATTCAGCCACGAAACAACAGAACTTTCTGTGTTGGAAAAGGAACACATCGAAAATCAAATTAGAAATTTGCATTCAACAAAAATAAGTTTTGAAACTTCCAATATAGCGATTCAACACAATCTCTATTTTACTATGATAGATGGTAAAGTATGCATTGCAGTTACCGAAAATCGATCGACACAGAGGTGTTATGTTTGTGGTCTAACCTCGAAAGACTTTAATAATATTGATAAAGTGCTAAAGACAAAAGTTATAGATGAATCTAGATATCAGTTCGGTTTGTCATCGTTACATGCTTGGATCCGCTTCTTTGAATGTTTACTTCACCTTTCCTACAAATTAAATATTCAGCAGTGGCAAGCTCGGGGTAAAGAAAACCAAGAAAAAGTTGCAAGTAACAAGAAGCGAATCCAAGAATTATTTCATAAAGAACTGGGGCTTTTAGTGGACAGGCCAAAGCCAGGATTTGGCAGCACAAACGATGGCAATATTGCTCGACAGTTTTTTGAAAACGCTGCCACATCATCAAAAATTACTGGCATTGACGAAGAGCTAATAACTAGATTCCGAATAATTTTGTTAACTATATCTAGCGGTTACCATTTAAAAATAGATTTGTTTCAAAAGTACTGTATTGATACCGCTGAAAAATTTGTGAAGTTGTACTCTTGGTATAACATGCCAACCACTGTATACAAAATTTTAATTCATAGTACCAATATAATGAAATATTTCTGTGTACCTATTGGGCAACTTGGCGAAGAAGCCAAAGAATCGCGGAATAAAGACATTAAAAGGTATAGAGAATTTAATTCAAGAAAATTTTCCAGAGAAAAAAATATGGAAGATGTGTTCCACAACCTACTAATCTCATCTGATCCACTCATCACTAACATGAGAAAACTTGATGCAAAAAAGACAAAAAAATATCCGAACCAAGTTTTATAGTTTTTCGATGAACCTTTAGTAGATACATCTGACAATGAGGAGGATGAACCTTTTTGATTTTTGTGTTTGGTTTTTATAATATTGTTTACAATGTTTATAATTATATATTTCTGTTTATGTTAATGTATATGTTCTCGTTTAATGATTTGTTGTTTATGGTCTGCTAATGTTCATTTTTACTTTTGCTGTTTATATTATTTAAAATAAAATGTTGTTTATGTTAATGTTAATATTTGTTATTTATAGTCTGTTAATATCGATTTTTGTTGATAATAATAATAACTTTATTGACAATAACGTACAAAACAGCACTTTCGCATCATTTTTGATCTATACATATAATTGTTTATAATTAAATTTTATTGTATGTGTTAATGTTCATATTCTTGTTTTATGTTTTGTTGTTTATTATCCGTTGATGTTATATGTTATATTGTTTAAAATTTGGTTTAAATTATATTTAGTTTGTTATATAGGAGTAAATTTGTTATCATTATTTATTTTTATTCGAAAGCGCGTTAAAAGACAAAAAAGAATGGAATGCAGTGGAATGCTCTAACAAGCGGACACTACAGGGTCCAACCTTTTTGTCTGGATATCGAAAATGTCTGCATATGAGAGTGCCTAACCAAAGAGAAATTCAGGATTCGGTCCAAGGTATTTGTCCGGTTATAAAAAATGTTAGGTGGTTAGAGCGTCCGCGTACTACAGCTTTCACTAAGTATATCATAAAATGCTTAATTTTTGTTAATTGTATCGATATTTTTTAATTTCCACCAATTTTGGAGTAATCAGACAAAAATATCTTTTTGGCCAACATTTTTAACTAATTCGCTTCTGTGGGATGGTTCAAAAGTGAGGTATACAAAGTCAAAGTTGACACTAGGGATGCACTTCTTAGGCGCATTCTAAATGTTGCAGTTAATATTAAGGAAAATCATGCAGCAATTAGGAAAGCAACAAGAGCTCTTAGTAAACGAACCCGGAAATGTTTAGAAGTTAATGGCGATATTTTCGAACAATTACTAAAATAACGCTGATGACCAATATTTGATGTTAATGTATAAGATTTTGTTTAATTGTAGTTATGCAGTAAGAGTTATGCAATAAAAAAAAAATAAAAGAAAATCGGATAACAACATAAGTTTTTTTACATTATTTTCAAGCGTACAATATACTCCTAAAGTTTGGTCCGTTCCTCCCGACTCACCCTGTATAATGAGCTCATTTCACATGTAACAGGGAGATTTAGAATGAAATTCTTAAGGAATTATTATTGTTAAGGTTTATGTCTTCTATAATTGGATATTAACAGTTACGAAGAAAAGAAATGCTTGAAACTTATTTACGGGTAAATGGTTTGCTAAATATAATAATCAAGAAGCAAAATTGTTTGATTAATTTTAATCAACAATAACTTTTGTAACAATTGAGATATGGTAGATAAATATGATAATTTGTAGAACGCAGCATTCGTGACCATACACAACATGTAACATAACATAGGGCCACCCGAAATACTGGGCTAAATAGACAATTGTCCTAGAGCACCAAACTTTTGTGGGGCGGCAACTTCTGGCAAAACAGGATAATGTGATCGGGCAGTTGAAAGACAGATTTTTCTTCCAATACGTTACAAGTTGAATTATATGGTTATTTTCTTTTATTTTAATATTTATTAGAGTTGGTCGTGTCACCTATTGATCAACTTTGGGTGTTACGTTGATAGAATTCATGTTAGTGGTAAATTTTGGCGTATATCTGTTACGCATGCGTTAAAGCATTAAATTTTTCACTATCCCTAATTTTTCTTTCTTTTCCGTCGCTGCACTTGTAAGGAAGCAGACGTGCTTCCTTACATGTGTTATTTTTGTGTTATTTTTCTTGACGGGTCGAACGAAAATTTTGGTTTTCGTTTGCTGATCGCTTCGTTTTCTACAGATTTAATTATGCGACTTAATTATTCGAACCGATCTTTTCGAGTTTATAAATCATGTCTTGCATTTACCTAAATTCAATTTTCATTAATTTACGCTGAAGATATTATATTTTTTTTTGTGAGAAAAGAAGTTAAACTTTTGGCAATTGTCAGTATAATTACATTACTTGAATTGGTAAGGTTTATGTATACGTCTTAACTCTCGCTACAACTTAGATTATGTCCCATATATTGTATATAGCATTATTATATATTTTTTTTATCAGTAACCCTAATTTTTTTAATTTCATTTTGGTTGTCAATTGAAGTGTATAATAGACTTTAGTCATAATTACTTTTTTTTTGTACTGGTCCCTGATATTCCTGTTTATCTATTAGATACGGTACCAAGCTCAATGGCACCTTTGGAAGTGTGAAGGGCAGAGCTTGGTGGCGACCTTTTATCATTTATTCTCATTGGTCCCCATTTTTTAGGATTCTTCTCCCGCGACCCAAATCTCCATATTGAGCTATCGAAGCCTTTGCTTTCAGTTTGGCATGTCGATGGTTTTCAGCATGTAACAAATTTTGGCGCTCAACGTGGGGGCCACACCATTTTCAGGAGAGGGGTAAATGGAAAAGGTATTGGGGTCATGCTCCTTGCCATCTCTAGTGCTACTGTTATTTATTTTTATTTGCTTCTCTTTGTTTGCTTCTAAATTTCTTTCACATTTTTTTTCTCCTTTATAATGGCTTTGTGGACGCTAGATGTAAACCGCTTGCATAAACCTGAGTTGCAATATGAACTTATCTCACGAGGGGTTGAAGGTGGTATCGCTGTTGATATTCTAATATCTCATCAGCGTTCAGCACATCCCTCTCAACATAATGATAGTGTGAGAAGTAGGTACACCGGTTATGTCGCCAATATCCAAACTTTCTTCACTTTCTGAATACATCCCTTTGCGCAATATGGCACCAAATATTGATAGTGATATATCCAACCCTAGCATCTTAACAGATCAACAAAGTGGAGATTTGTCTAACTGACAATTATACAATTTTGTACATTGAACTAACTTGAAAACTGTTAAATAAAAAAGTAATTCAAAGTTAACTTTATATACTTTTACTTACTTGAACATAATCACTTAGCACAGTACAGAAGAAATTGAAGACGAGTACAACATCGTAAGTTCATTGCTCATCAAGTGGAACTTGCCTGAGTGGCAGGTTCCACGAACCAGTTACATGACAGGGTGTCATGTAACTGGTTCGTTAGAACTTTTTTAAACCACCATTCGTAGAGGTTTGAAATTTTGGTAGTATGGGTTGTACACTAGGAACTTTTGATCTAAAATATTTTCGAGATGACCGCCACTTCCGGTCTACCGGAATAGACCACAACTTCGTTATTTTAAATGGAATGCTATAGTTTGCTACTATTGTAAAATGCACCCTTATGCATAAAACATCTTGCACGGCCTTTTACCAGAAGATTACGTAAAAAGTAATTACTTAAAATTCAAGAAAATCCTTTTCGAAGGAGAACAATTCGGTGATGAGGGTGGAAAGGGAGATAAGTCGTATTTTCGGGAAAATGGGTTTAAGTCATATTAGTAATCAAAAATATGTCTATTTCCTTGTGTAAAACGAGTTTAGTCGAAGCAATGCACCTATTGAGAGTATTATTAGTGTGTACAAAGGAGATGTTTTGTTTCAATCAAACAATAATTTTGTGTAAAGAGAGACGAGTCGACTTACCTCCCTATACACAAAATTATGTAGTGCCTAATAAGATAAGATTACTTAACTCCTTTTCACATCAACTATTTAACTTCTTAAATTGACTTATCCCCTTTATATTCACACATAACCTCAATTTTGATCGACATCTAGTGTTTTGAATAGTGGAAAAATGTGTTCTAGAGGCAAAATGATGGTTGAAATGGCAATAAGAAATTCAATTGATATCACAGTAGGTAAGTCTCACAAACCGAAATAACTTTTAGGGTCGTTTAATACGCAAAACTATAATAAATGAATACAATTTTTTCTTAAAATTATTTCAGATGCGAGTCCTAGTTTTTCACACAACCACATCTCTAATAGCAAACAACGGTCATGTGAGTTTTAGATATATTGAAAAGTAATATAAATCTTAATTCAATTAATTCTACAGATTCGACTGAGTCAAGTGAAGCTCAATCATTACCACCAGATGTAGCGGCACAATTTTCAGAAATTTTTAATTCTGACGATGAGAATTTCGATCCAAATTTTTCTCCTGATGATTCATCTCGTGACTCTTTAGATAACGAAACAACGCTTAGAGATCTAAGAAAGAAAAGGAAGAAGAAGGAGTTGCATGAAAAGAATACAGAAGTAAACCACAATGACGTTATGGAAATTGAAGTAAATAAAGGTAAACGATCAAACAAAGAAACGCGAAAAATACGGGAAGAAAGAAAGTTAAAGACAAATACTGGAAAAGAATATATTACCCGATCAAATAAGGTAGTTCCTGAAAAGCATTAAAAGAGTTAAAAAACTGTAGAAATAAATGTGTTGAAAAATATGATAACAACATTCGAACAACACTGTTTAGAGATTTTTGGTTAATGGGCAGCTATAACAGAAGAACACAGTACATTAGCGACCTAATTTTATTGAAAGACAAGAAAGTTATTAGAATTCGTAAAGAAAATAGCAACAAAAAGCGTACGGATACTGCAGTGTATCATTTTAGAATCAACAATAGTTTAAATCGCACATGTAAAGATTGTTTCAAAAAAACCTATGATATAAGTAATAAATTTATTGAGCTAATCATACAGAAAAAGAGAGGAAATAATATGTCAGGAATAATGCAGTTATATGGCAGAGGGACTCATGAAAACAGAAAAAAGAGTCGTGATGAAGATAAACAAATAGCACGGGAGCATATTTTATCCATACCTGCATATGAAAGCCATTACACCCGGAGGCAGTCTTCTAAGAGGTATTTACCTCATCACTACACTTTAACCTCTCTATATCAGGCTTATAAATCCCAGAATCCAACAAGATTTATAAATAGAAGAGAATATGAAAAGATTTTTTATTCATTAATCATCAAAATTAAGCAACCGAAGAAAGATACATGCGATAATTGTGACAAGCTCCAAATGAAACTTAAAATGGCAAAACCGGATGACGAGAAAGCCAAATTAACCCAAGAGATTAATACAAGAGCATCATCAAAAAGCCGAAGACGGTTATACCAGTAAAAGTAATGACAAAACCGCTTCCAAGGCGGATCCTCAAAAGAAAACCATTTGTTTTGACTTACAACAGTATCTACCAACACCAGATATTCAAACTGGGGAAGCATTTTATAAGAGACAGCTGTGGACTTTAACCTCACAGTTCATGACTGCGATGATGCTCAAACTTTTTGCTATTTATGGTACGAGTCGTTAGCCAAGAGAGGTGCAAATGAGATAGGTTCATGTCTTTACAATTACTTAAAAAATAATCTCGACCCCATGGTAACCCATATTGTCATGTACTCTGATTCATGTGAGGGTCAAAATAAGAACACCTACATCTCAGTCACTTGTCTCGTCGCATTACAGAACTGTGAAAATTTGTCCATTATTGACCATAAGTTTTTGTTGCCTGGGCACACCCACATGGAATGTGATACAGAGCATAGCCTTATTGAGGAAAAAAAGAAGAAAAGTAATTTAAAAATTGAACACCCACATGATTGGGCTCAACTCATTCGCCTGTAGGCAAGAAGAAACCTTTTGTGGTCCACGAAATGGGGAGGTCGGAGTTTTTAGATTTTGCAGGGTTGTACTCAAAGGCTTTGATAAACAGAAAGCAAGATACATCGGGAAATAAATTTAATTGGAGAGAAGTAAGATGGATTCGATATGTGAAAAATAGTAAAAAGTTTTTATATAAAAACTCCCTGAGCGAACTTGAAGATTTTAAGATATTAAGTTTGGAAAGAACTGGCCGAGGAAATATCATAGAAACACTAAATCCTAAACAAGCTTATAGAAAACCAGTCCCTATAACAGAAGAAAAGAAACGTCAACTTGAAGAACTACTGCCCTATATTACTGAAGGAAACTGGGATTTTTACAAATCTTTAGCAACTTCTGCTGAACAAGTGTATGTATATCCAGATGCCTCATCAGACGAAGAAGATTAGAATTTTAAACTTTTTTTTGTATTGTAATTTCAAAGTAAAATTTTTAAAATACAACATCTTTTCATTGTTTGCGATAGTTAATGTAGTGATAAAGGATTTATGTCACATATATTTTTTTGTGAAAAATGAGATAAGTCAATCAAAGCCACTTATTCAAAATTTTGTTGAAAAGAAAATCTGCGTTTCTGACCGTTAATTATTTATTATTTTAAAATAGAAACAAATTTACCACAGAGAATTTACCCTAAAACGCGAAAATAAACTAAATAGTTTACCAATTTTTCGATGAAGGTTTTCTCGATATCGGGTTTTTTGACTTAACTCCCTTTTTACCCCCATCAGCGAATTATCGAGGGAAGGTATAGTTAATAGACAAATTTATATATTTGGGCTGCCGAAAATCCCCATGCAGTCAGACAGGCAAATTTTCAACAAAAATTTAGTTTCAATGTTTTTGTTTTGTTAATGAGAAACCAACTTCGTTTTGGAATTTACGATGAGAATTTAAACAGTGAACGATATTTAGAAATTTTAAGAGGTACAATAACCGATTTTTGTGAAAGTTTGCGTCTTAACACATTTGCAAATTATTGGTATCAACTTGATGGCGCTCCAGCACATTCTTCAGGGCAAATTTACCAATAAGTAAACAGTTTGTTTGATAACCGATGGATTGGAAGATATGGGCCATGGCAATGGCCTCCACGATCTCCAGATATAACACTGTATATTATTTTTACCACTGTATTTGTGGGGTCATTTAGAAAATCAGTTGTACAGTTCACCGGTCAACACACAAGAAGTGCGTGATAGAATGGTGAGTGCAATACATACTATTGACGGCGACCAACAACCATAAAAGTCGAAAAGAAGACTTGAAAAATGTTTAATTGCGAATGGTTAGCATATCGAACAGTTTTCATTTTTTTATAATTTTAAGTCTTTATTTTTTTTATACATATGTTATTGATTCTAATTTTTGTCATTAAATTATAGTTTTTCATTGTTTCATTTATTCGTTCTTCTGTTGGTTATTTTTAGTAAATAAAAACTAGCATTGTAATTCAGCGGGAGCGTTAAGGAAAATTTGGTTTTAGCGTGGCATGTTTTATTATTGGACCACGAATTGTTTATAAAATATATGAAGGAAACCTTTGCGCTAATCGCTATTTGGCCATCTTGCAAGAAACTTTGCCAGATATTTTGGATGATATTCCTCTTATTCGGTTAAATAATATTTATTTTCAACAGAACGGAGCTCCCGCTCATAATGCGCAGTTAGTGAGCCGCTACCTAACTGCAGAATTTCCTGGTAGGTGGATAGGCACGCATGATAATTATAGTAGGTACTGACAAAATAAATCTTCAAGAATTTGATGTGCACGCTATAAGTTAAATTATTTTATTGAATGTCTTGATATTACTATGAAACTAATATACGTTTTTAATTTGGAATTCTCGCCAATAAGTAAATTGGTATGGCAATTTGTTGCTCCGTATTTTTTTTAAATAACGGAAGGCAATGTAAATGTGATTGATAGCCTACTTGCGCAGCTTGGTAACCAGACAAAACTACTTTAATTTAAATATATCATGTTTACTTGCATTTTGTGTAACTTTATGTTTAATTTAAGTTCAGAGTTACTATATTATTTGAAAACTTTTCATAAAGTTCCATCTATTTTTAAGTTTACGTGTACATACTTTCAGTGTATGCAACAATTTACTAGTATTTACACGTATAAGAACCATTTAGAAAAACATGATAATAAGAAATCAGTTTGCTGCAATGTTGTAAACACCATATTTGCAAAGATCTGAATTTACGCATAATGACACAAATTCACTTTCCAAAACAAAATACAGGGGTAGTACTGTTGTAGAAGAAAACTTATATTCTCAAAAATCAACAAGTAAGTCGTTAAATGCAACCGAATTTAGTATTGAATGCGATTTAATAGCGTTTTCTTTACAGTTACATAGCCAACAAAATTTTAATCGCAAAAATGTTGTTGATATTCAAAGCTTAGTTCAATCATTAACAATTAGAATCAAAGAACACCAACATAATGACAGACATAATTACATTTATTAACATATTTTCTTTTCACATTTAAAAAAAATTGTTTGCCCTTTCACAATTTGTAATAATAACACATTTGTAAATTTTTGAATTTTAAAGTTTAGTTATCATTGGTTTGCAACCCTGCAAAAGTGCGCGCTTTTATGTATTTTCTTGTTAGTATCTGTCTAGAAAAGGCTGTCTAGAAATAGCTAGCAGAAGGCCCATTGACACATATTTGATCATACAACACAGCAAAGGAAATGTGGACAAAATTAAAAGTCGTGTATGACAAGGAATCTGTAGTCAGCGTACATCTCCTACAGCAACGATTCTCCATGCTGGAATCCGCTAGTACGGTGAGTACCTTTATTTATTTATTCAATTCGGGATACTGACAGGTTAATCGCAATGAAGCATCTACAAAAATTAACAACAAAACAAAAGATTACATAATAAACTATAAAGGTGAACAAATATGTTGTTTACATAAAAAAAAATAATCAAAAAGAATAACTAAAAAGCAATTTAAGTAAGTAGATTGTTTTTTAAACGATAGAAAAGAACAATTAAATAAATCCATCATTTGGCAAACTTTGTTATAAGTGTTTAATACGCGCAGGTTGGCCTAATTAGTATAGGCAGTAAACGCTGAGGGATCCTAAACAGTAAACTATCATGAGTGCAATATTGCGGGACATTGATATTAATTAAAGATAAAAGGACGGTTGGGGACATCAATAAGCCCAGTAACAAGTTTGTACAGAGCGAGGCATCTAACAAACCGACTCTAAACGGTCCATGTACATGTGATACATTGGATTCTAAACCACCGAAAGAAAAAAAGAATGCTATTAACATGTGCCATATAAGCAGATTTTACGCAATCAAGATTAGAAAAGATATAAGTAGTTCTTAGAATAAACCCCAATTGTTTCATAGCTTTCAGAAAGACATAATTAAGATCGTTGATAGAAGTAACACATTTAATAGATGCAATATCAAGTAGATATGAAATCGTTGTTATATCTTTTCCTGCTAAAAGAAATTTTAGCACATTTTTCCTAATTTAGAAAGTTTACTCTTATAACAATAAGTGTTAAAACAATGCAGATCAGTACATTTCAGATAAAAAAGCACAAGAACATAAAGCACACACCATCGACATTTTTTGTATTAATCGCTGTCACCGTTAAAACATTTTCTGCTGTTGATCAACATTTCATAAAAACGAAAGTATGCACTCTTGTAAGTGAAAATGAAATCAATTTT